GGAATGCTTTCTTAACGAAGTATGCAAAAGTTCCAAGTTGTGAAACGGAAGTTACTGCAAAATGGTTGAACCTGTCTTTAAATTCGGTTCATCTGCCCTAATGAACTGCAAACCATCACAATATTAAAAACCAACAATAACTCCACATAATAAAGACACGGCCGCTCGAAAAAATGGACAGCAGTATTCTAAAAAGCTTTTCATCATGACACTGCCTGTTCAGAACTCTCCAACATTAATATATGTCAAAGACTACAACATAAATACATAATCTTGACAATTGAGTCAACAATATTCTTGCAAAAATATATACATATATATATATATATATATATATCCATAAATAAATGTATGCATTACAACTCAACTGAAATTGCCTAATCACAAATAGAGCAAGATCAAAACAGAACAGAAAAACATGAACAAGCACAATTGCACAACACTGAACCTCGGGCATCAAACTTCAGCTTCATGGAAAATAAAATCAAACAAAGTAAAAAGGGAACTACTTATAGTAAGAAATATTCACAGAAAAAATAATAACATTAATAACACATGGGATTGAACTGAAAAACATGATATAAGAACTTCACCATAGTTGCATAAAATCTGTGTAAGCAGGCAAATAAAAATTTAGCTGTACGGATATAAAAAGCAACAAGGATTCATTTACTACAACTCAAAACACAAACTAATCTCAGAAAATGGTACGGAAGCTAGAAGAAGGTGACATGCATATGGATATTCAAAAACTTGGTCACAAGTCATAAAACCCGAAGGGCAGAAGGACCAATTGAAGTCCAATTAGTCCTGTCTAAAGAGCAATGCAACCATCAACTGTATCTCTCATTAAACCATCCAGAATTGTTTTGGAACCCCTACAAGACAAACTTCCAAGCAGAAGGTACTCAACATTATCTAAATATCATTTTCATCATGCTTATAAATAATTAAAATGCAAAAGATTGATAATTGCCTACAGTCTCTCACCAAGTAGAGGTTCTCTTCGCTCGTCCAAAAGACTGTCTGCCAGAAATCCACTAGAAATGAGCAAAATAACTAAGTGCCTGTAAACATCAGAAAGAAATTCAAGGAAACGGAACCAAAAAAACAGATAAATAGACCCTCTCATCTGTTTTCAACCAATCACAATGTACAGTCCAGCCACAAATGGCTCTTTAAATTTCAGCAAGTCCATCTTCAAGTAAAGGACTGCAAGCAAGAAAAAACATTAAAGGCAACTAGCAACTACAATCGGAAAAACAAAAACCGAGCACAAAAGAAAAATGCCGCGGAGAAGGGATTTGAACCCATGACCTCAAGGCTACGAGCCTTGCGAGCTACCAAACTGCTCTACCCCGTGCCAAAGAGAAGAATCAAGAACTAATAGAAAAGAAGGATTGAACTCGCCCATCTACCGTATCTGTACAAATAGAATAGCCTACTTATACAGAATGGTAAAAGGATTCCCATCCTCAACAAAAAAAATCATCAAGTAAGAAGGATCCATAAATTTTTCAGAATGAAGGGCAGAAAAGGGAAATATAGATGAAGATTTATAACAAAGAGAGCAGTAAAAAATGACAAGATGGTAACATAATACCATAGAGAATGTTCAACAACTTCCAATACCAATTTAATGCTGCCTGTCCCTGCTGCATATGACATTTACTAAACCCAGTTAACCACTGTTATTACACAGAGACTGAGAACTGAGCTTGATACCTAGAATACCAGCTACTCGAAGCCTCGAACTCCATTACAAACAACAAAAATAACCAAGAGACTATAAACACCAAAAATAGAGCTTGAGCAGATAATTCAAGAGAATCAATAAATAACAACATAGATAATTGGATTCCCTCATCTCTTCCTCAATTAATCAAAGCATATGATTTGGTAACAGTAACATAGTGCACCAATGGAAAAGGCTTTTTACAGAGGCTCCATCGGAGTGAAATGAATAGAAAACAACCAAAAAGTAATGTGAAACAAGCAAGTACATAGAGAACCGAAAGAAGAAAAAAAACACAAAACTCCATCGCACACAACAAAACAATAAGGAAAGACAGCAGAATCCTCACAGAACTACGAGCATGCCACCTCAAGTCCTCACAAGCTTCCCATCCTCGTCTAAAATGTCCAGTAAGAAGGATCCATGAATTTACAGAGAACTAAAGAGACATATAGATGAGAGAACTAAAGAGATATATAGATGAGAGAACAAAAGCAGTAAAAAAAATGGAAGACCGGAGACATGATACAGAGATGCTCTTACCCAACTGCATATGACATTTACCAGGTCTTTGCTCAGACTTTGTATGCATAAGTAGCTCCACCTTAACCATCTTCTCAAGTGCATCTGGGTCTGGAGGACTGCAAACAACAAAAAAGTAGATAGTCAACAGCAATTCCAGAGGGAGATAAAGTAATACTACCAAAAGACTACATGCTTGCAAAAAACAGAAGGCAAAGCACAAGAACCAAGTCCATGAGGAAGGATGAAATGACCAAATGCCTATCAAGAAACCAATTCACCTAAATTGGTTTGCAACAACTACACATTATTGGTAGGAAGGTAATATAAAACACAGGAGATCAGGGTTCAGACTTCAGAGTACAACCATCACTAATGCATAATTGCGCTGGGACGAAAGACAGGAAAACAAAAGTACTTTGTTGGTGGTCCAGCGCCCAGCAGGAGCACAAATCAATCTTGAAGAAAAGTTCAAAAAGGGAATTATCATCCAGATTTGATCCGCAGAAGGATCTCTAACAATTTTACGCTTGCAGTTCAGGACTGAAACCACCAGATTGCAACTTCAAATAACAGGACCAATTTATTACGCTGCAATCAGTGTTTTCTCATACATCTCACAAATGCAAAGAACATGAAAACAAAAAACAATAGACAAAATTCTTTGTTAATTCTCCAACAAATTGCTCCTATCAAACTCTAGTTTCAGAGACCCCAAGGGCTGTAGAGCAGTGGTATCTACTCCTTCCAAAGTAGGAGCTACAGGGTTAAGTACCCAGAAGGGACTGTGGCTGTGTGAGTTTCTTGACAAAAAGAAACTACAGTTTCAGAGAGAGAGAGAGAGTACTATCCTTCACAAAACTCAATACCAACCACCAAAACTAAATTCCATCGACCACAAATATAAATTTTAAAGCCATACAACTCATCCTAAAATATCACACAAAACCCATATATTATAAATAAATTTAACATAAATTCAAAGCCGTATCATTCACAAAAAAACTCCGAGTAAAATATCAAGGAAAATCAATATAATACAAATACATTCAACAACAAAAAATAGAGATTCAAACAAATCCTGAGAGAACTGACCGACACGTCTTCGACAATTGCCTTAAACCAGTCCCGGTGCCATTCGCGGACAATCTCGAAAACCCTAGTTTTGTTCACAAGAAAACTCCGTGTAAAATATCAAGGAAAATCAATATAATGCAAATATATTCAACAAAAAAAAAAAATTATTCATACAAACCCTAAGAGACCTGGCCAACACTTCTCCGCCGTCTTCGACATTTGCCTTAACCAGTCCCGGTTGCCATTCGCAGACAATTGCCTTAACCAGACCCAGTTGCCATTCCCGACTTCGCGACAATCTTGAAAACCCTAGTTTTGGTCCTCAATTCGTTGATCTTCTTGATTTGAGTACCTCCTCCTCTCACTCTCTTCTAGGAGAATAGGATAAAGTTTTGTCGGTTGCGGTCTTAGCGGAGATTGAACGCGGTCGGTTTCTGTGAGGATTAATTATCCTCGGGAAAAATAAAATATTTGATTTGATCCTCTTAAGTAATGTTCTCTCTCTCTCGAAAAAATAAAAAATAAAAATAAAAAATAAAAAGAAGAAGAAGAAAGTAATGTGGACTCGAAAACCTGTATGAATTTTAATAAAAAAATGAAAGAAAGAAAGAAAGAAAGAAAGAAAGAAAAAAAAAAAAAAAAAAAAATGGATATGCCGTTTCTAATGTATAAAGGTACTTTATCACTTTTTAAAATAAAAAATCAAAGTCTTTATAGTAGCAAAAATAAGTGGGTAAATGGTTGAATTTTTATAAAACATTATTCATAACTCGTAACATGAAATGGATTGTAACTGCAACTACGAAACAAAAAAGTTCCCATACCTGTCCCATTAGGGGAGGACGGGACAACTCCATGGAGCTAGCAAAAATATTATTCTTGTGAATGATGATTTTTGAGAAATTAGCCTAACCTGGATAAGAGATTCCCATTAATTAAACAGAGCAAAGACGAATTCAGACAAACTCATACCAAACCCACCCCGTTGTCATTCCTAATTTTGTATACTAGTTTAGCTATGTAACCAATTTTGCACCATTTTGTTATAGCCAGACCAAGGATAATACTGGTTTACATTAGATGTTATTATATATATAGAAAATAAAAAATATAAACAATCTTTTATTTGGAACGGTGTTGCTTTTAGAGTTTTTTTAAAAACCATTTTAAGATAACTGCATTAACAGAATTTTATACTGAGTTGACAAAAATCGTAAGTACGGATGAATCACAATGCGTGCTGTGTTTAACAAGCTGTGAGGATGTAATTGCATGCTTGACTAATTTATGGGTCAAGTAATTACTATAGAATTTTTTCTCTCAATTAATTTTGACAGTCTACAACAAAACTGATGAGCTACTCAAGACTCAAAAACATACGGCCCCTCAAAGAATCTCCCAATCTTGTTCAACTACCTTCAAGAAAATTTTAAATGCACAAATTATATATTAATAAATGTGCCTGCCTTTTTAGAAGTTGAAATGAAACGAAAATAATTTTGTGTATTTTTCGGGCCCTGAGCTGCCTTCATAAAACTTATGCCAAAGGTCGGGTGTTTTCCCTCCCGAAACCTCGCATTGGAAATAGCAAACAATCCTCTTAAAATTCACAATTAGTAGCAGTAATACAACATAAACCTGCAATGCGATCCCAAAATTCAAACCATAAGCTCAAAATCAAACAGATTAGCTACACATTTAAAACTGTTTATCCAATTGACTGGTTTCATTGTAGCATTGTCATCCCACTAAATGTAAATTACCAACTAAAATTTATTAATTCGTTGTACAGACAAGTGAGAATTTTTTATAAAAGTTGGCACTTCCAAACTTTTTGCTTCTTTTCTCCATTTTCCTAACCACTGATGTATGAGAAGTACAAATAAGCAATCAAGATTTCCTTCTATAACAAGCAAGGAGCACAAGGAATAAACAAGAAGGATATGAATCAAGCTGACTGACTCTTTCACTATTGGCCCTCATCCATGGGGTCGTTACGATTACAAGCTTCTTGTCTCAAATCCTTGTCATCATGTCTAGACTCCTCTGACTCTTTCGAAACAGAATCTTCGAGTGCCTCAAGAAATGAGAGAACAGTAAACTTGTCTGCAGGGAAAAAAATAATAATTTATATAACGATGTGAGATTGTCAGTAATAAGGCGCCACAAATCCCCTGGACAACAGCAAAACATGGTAAAAATTCCTTAATGGGTACATCTTCCTTCAATTCCCAAATATGGGTCTTTGAACCAACCTTACTGCAGTTTATGATTTCAACATTCATGACATTAAATCTTATTATATAACCGCTCAAACAAGATAAAGCCCACTTAAAGCTTCACTTTACTTTTTGCTTTTCTGGGGAAGTTTGCCAACTCTAGACTTGAGAGAGGCAGAATTTTCTACTCGACAAATTAGAAGCAAACTAGATCATTTGTTCCATATATTACATAAAAATAAATAAATAAAAACAATGAATTGCTAACATGCATAAAACAAATATTATGTATGGGATTCAAAGTCACCAATTAAAGAATTAATCCATGAATTAATAGGTCACAAGAGCTGACTGCTTACATTTACTTGGGTCAATTCCAAACTGAGTCAGATCTATCTGTCCCGTTCGCAGAACCTACAAATAAGCAGGAAATCATAACCCTCACAAAAATTGGCCAACATCATACAATAAATAGAGAAGAAAACATGACGGGTTCCGATCTCTCACATAAGTAAATGAATCTACTTGTTGACGGAAAGGAGGGCTCTGCAGTAACTCTATAAACTCCTCCGGTGTCCATTGACCCTGCAACCTCACAACAGGTCTTACAGATGCAACTACATAAAATCAAACGATTCAGAAAGACTCAAAAACACCAGACTTGTTTACCTCAGGTAAGTATGACTCCAGCCTTTGTTTCAGTGATAGTGTCTCAATAAATGGCAGTATTAAATCAGGCTTCAAAATGTCCCCCAATCCTAAGCCTATAACAACATAATAGAATGAAACAATTTCATGGGCACATAAGAAATGAGTTATGCCATAACAAGTTGATCAATCCAGAAAGTATCTGTAAGGTCCTAAAGATAATGTCAACATATAAATTTAAGTCTTACATACATCAAAAAGTTTAACTGATCCCTGACATTTCCTGATCAAGATATCTCCTAAAAACATTATTAGCCTGATTAAGCTTTTGAGACAACTAGCTAAAGGCAGAATATAAGAAAATTGGGTTTCAGCGAAGACTCCACCAGTAGCCTGCAAAATTAATCCATCAATATTCATCCAACGGCAAAAGGAGAAAGAGGAAGAAAAAGAAGAATCTATCTTTCTGAATGGCAAAAGGAGGGTAATGTTCATCCAATGAGGTCCTAATGCCTAAAATGAGACCTGAAGTGCAAAATATCTCGCAGAGCCCAATCCTGAATGGTTTGTTATGATTTTTCCATCTTAATGGTAAGAGTTGCAAATGTCATGCCGTTTTAATCCTTTTCCCATACATTTTGAGAGTGCTGATTCTTTTTCTTTTGTTTTTTTTTTGTTTTTTCTTTTTAATTCCCAAAAGCATGCAAACAACAGCATTTGCAATCTGTCAAAGGCTTGGGAGCTGCAAATGAGCCAAACTGAGCCAAATATCATGCTGCTCAGTCATGGCTCAGCTGAAAGCAGCATGACTTAAACAGCTCGGTCTTGCCGAGCTTAGAATACCTTAGCTCAACTCAGATTGGCAGCTACTCAGCCAGCTCACTATCCAAGCTCGGCTCATCACACAGGGCATGACATTTATTTTTTCATACACCTTTCATGTTTTATTCCATTGAAAGTTTTGCATCAGCTTCAAATTTTGAATCAATAAATCGTTAACAAGTGTCACCAATAAAGATGTTGAAGTTCTTTAAAAATGATAAGATGTCATCATAGTTTAAGGAAATTATGTACTAGCCCTTGTAATATTCACTAACCCAACAGAAGAGTTCAAAAGAAGCCTAACTGCTCAGGTTCAAAATAAGGCTCAGGTTCAAAAGAAGCCAAGCCCTAGCTGCAAATAAGAGCTGCTCATAAACCTCTTGGCTTATTTGCAGCCCTATTAAGAAGGAAAAATAATTGCTAAGGGGAAATTCCCAAACGAACCTCTCGGCTTATTTGCAGCCCTATTAAGAATGAAAAATAATTGCTAAGAGGAAATTCCCAAACGGGAAAAGTTTACTAATAGAGTCTCCAAAACATGTACAGTAAATGTATCGAGAAAATTATTACCTCCATCTGGATCTCCAGCATCATCTACACATAAAACAATAGTCTGTCAGAGCTCAGAGCAACACAAAGCAAAAAGCTACGGCAAAGTGTTTGCCCCTAGGAGAGAACTACATATTTACCAGCAGATCCAATGTTACTTAAAATTCTTTGCAAGTCTGACAATTTTACAGGTCCTGAAGAGGTTACATCACTAATTACTTCAGCACCAGAGCTTGGCACAACCAAATTTCCAGCCCTGGAAGAAAAAGAAAAAAGATCACATCAAAATACCTCCACCAAATACCATATTATAAATTGGATATACAATTTCAAAACTGAATAAGTTTTCTAAGAACTAATTATAATTTGCTTTTAAGCACGGACACGGATACGGGACACAAATACGACACGACACGGATACTGCAACACGGCAAATCCAAAAAAATTAGGACACGGACACGGCGGGGACATGGCGAATAGTGTGTGTATATATATATATGTGATGTAGTACTTTAAAAATTACTGAGTGTAACTATTTTTCATCAACCTCACAATGAAAAAAAAACAAAACACAAATCATAACTCATAACTAATAAACTATAAAAGAACAATGTTGCATAGTTATAAAACCAAATAAAAAACAAGACATTAGAATAATAACTAGTATCATTTAATCATCATTGCAACTTTACTCCAAATACAAAAGCATAGACAGAAAAGACTATTACCATTCATGACTGTTTAAGACTTTACTGTTAGCACTTAACAAGTTAACATTCACAAAAACCTAAAGGCTAGTCCCCAAAAAAGATACAAAAACAAGTGAGTGTACTATCATCTATTCCCATTCATCATTTGACCTAGCACTTTTACCATTTACAATACCAAAAGGGTAGTACAAAACAAAAAAACACAACATATCAGCATTAAAAATAAAAAAATTCTAGACACGTGTCCGAGGAGTGACCGTGTCGGGGCGTGTCCGACGCGTGTCCGTGTCGGACGCGGATTCTTCGCCCATTTTGGCATGTCCGTGCTTCCTAGATAATTTGCTTCTATAGAACTAAACAGCATGCCAATTTTTTCAAAGAAAGTGAAGTGCGGCCTTCTCCTAAATATCCATTATTGCCTATAGGCTATGAAGCCAACACGGGATACGAACACGATACGAATACGGCAATAGGACAAATTCTTAAAAATAAATAAATAAATAAAAATGGGGATGGGTACGCAAGGTACGTTCATTGGAAACGAAAAAGTTTTTTCCACAGAGATGATGGTGTTGTTCCACTCTATGGTACAACATCAAAATGATATGTATATACATATTTATATAAATGCTGATATGTATAAAAATCAATATATATATCTCTATGGAAAAATTTAAATAATTATTATTTATGTAATATATATTGTTATTAACATTTCTTTATTAAATATTATGATTAACAAATAAAATAAGAGTTGAGATTTATATTGCGTAGATAAATTGTAGATAAATTTTGATCTAAATCATGATATATATCCTAATTCTTATTTTTTAATATATTTTAAATTTTTTCTTAACAATTATACTATGATATTATTGTTGAAAAAGTTACACTTCAATGTTTTATTTTTTATTTTTTATTTTTTTTAAAACTTACAATTTAATGTTCAAACTTGTTAAATATGTGTTCTAAAGTATCTTAGCAGCATCAACTACGAGGTTGAAATGTCTGAGAAGCATCGGCTGCATATTTGAAATATCTAACAAGTAAAGGATACGTGTAAAAAATAAAAAATAAAAAATAATATATATATATATATATATATATATATATATATATATATATATATATATTAAGGATACATTTAGGAACTATTAGACACGTATCTGTGGGTATCCGAGGAGTATTGATTTCTGACACGGATACGATATAGGTACGTCACTCTTGTAAAAGTATATGTGCTCCCAAGATTATCGCAAAATATCCAAAAACTCAATCAATGCTATTAACAAATATACAGGAATCGTGTATCCATTGTTATTAAAGGCCCAAGGCGCACCAAGGCGCTAGAGGTCCTTTGGAGCCTAGGTGCAAGGCGCTCGCTTGAGTGAAATGAGGCGCACAATTGAAAATTTAAACTACCATAATAACATTCATATCTCATAAGTCATATCAATATTCTAAAAATTAACATCAAATATAAAAAAAGTAAACCATCAACTATACAAGCATCCAACAACCATAAAACAAAGCACAAATTTGTTTTCTTGAAAGGCAAAGCAAAATGTGTTTTTTGAATGGCAAAACAAAGCACAAAAAGAAATAAATATGTTAACAAAAAAAAAAAATTTGTTAACAAGAAAAATAAAAAAACAGAGCAAAAAAAAAAAAAAAAAGACAAAGACAGAGAGATGAGAGAACTAGACGAAGAGAGAGATGTAAACAAAGATAAGAAGAGAGGAGCAATCTAGAGGAGGAGAAGAGACAAAAAAGAAAAAGAAGAAAAAAAAAAGAAAGAACTGACGTGGCTTAGTCGTTCATCTTTGCAACTAGGCTTCGTCTTCGTCTCACAATCTCATTCTATCGTTGTTCGGTTAACACTTTGACTCTTGGGCCTTCTTATTTTTTTATTCTATTGAACAAAAGTTCCTTCTATCGTATAATTAAACTTTCTTTTTTGTTTATTAAGTTGCCAAAAGTACCCTTTTTAGCTTAAGAAATAGAACAATCATATTTTTTAAAACAAATATCAGTGAGGCGCGCCTAGGCGCACCTCACAAACAGGACGAGGCGCAACCGAGGGGCGCGCCTGGTAAACATCAGTGAGCCTGGAATGACAACGGGCGCTAAACCTGAGCCTCGAGCCTAGGCGTGCCTTTAACAACACTGCGTGTATCAACCACAAATTAACTATAAATATAAAAAGAAAGGGGGAGGGGGGTTGCCCTATATATATATATATATATATATATATATATATATATATATATATAATAAAATAAAATAAAATAAAATAAAAAACTAGCCCGCATAGCCTTTGTAGTGGAATCATTTAAATGAGGTAGCATGTATATTAAGCACCAACAAGGTTATCAAATTAAGCAATTTTTTAGAATCAAGGGCAACTAGGAAAAGGACTATGTTGCCCTTGATAAAATAAGCAATTTTTTTTTTTTTTTTTTATAAGTAAAAATATATTAGAAAAACGTTCAAAAGGGGAACGCATCCCTAATACAAGAGAAAAGATCTAAGGACCAATAGAATCCAAGAGATCAAAGAAATCATCAATCGAGGAGCATGTACTTCCTCTAACATAAAAGAATAAAGAACGAAGAATATGAAATTTTAAATTAGCTAAGGACGATTCTTTTCCTTCAAAGGATCTGTTATTTCTCTCACGCCACAAACACCACCAGACACAATGAGGAACAATCTTCCAATAAGCACGAGCTTGTTTCTTAACAGGAACAGCTTTTCCAAGCGTTAATCAATTGAGAGGAGTGCTGAGGCATTACCCAAAAAATGCCGAATATGCTGAAAATAAAACTCCAACAACCAAACGCCACAGGACAATGCAAAAGAATGTGATCCACGGATTCACTAGCATCTTTGCATAAACAACACCAATTAACAATGATGTTGCCTCTCTTTCTCAAATTGTCCAAAGTCAAAATCTTCCCCAATGTAGCTGTCCAAACGAAGAACGCGATTCGAAGAGGGGCTTTAGAGCACCACATGGACTTCCAAGGAAACTCGGAACCTACGAAATTGGATAAATGAATAAACATAGAGCGGACATCATACCGACCATGAGCCAAAGGAACCCACAAAATATCATCACACCCTCTGCCAATATCCTTCTGCCTATACAAAATATCCAAAAAAGCAGAGACTTCCTCCATTTCCCAATCCTGAAAAGACCGCCTAAACCGCACATCCCACGTAACTCCATTATTATCAAGATGATAACAATCAATCACGAAAACATGCTTATTAGTTGCAATGCTATAAAGCCTAGGAAATGAGTGGGAAAGCAACTGGTCGCCACATCAAAGATCCTCCCAAAAACGAACATGTCTGCCATTACGAACTTTGAATCTAAGAAGGGTAGAGAAGACATCCCATCCCTTCCGAATAAATTTCCACAAACCAACGCCTCCCGTAATAGTGACTGGAAGAGATGACCAACCCCCACTCCCCTCACCAAAACGACACGAGACAACTCTTCTCCATTGACGATGTCGTTCCCTTCCAAATCGCCATAACCACTTTCCTAAGAGAGCACGATTAAAAGGAACAATTTTTCGAATGCCTAGCCCTCCAAATCTCAATGGTTGGCAAACTTGATCCCAATTAACAAGATGATACTTAAACTCCTCTCCCCTTCCACCCCACAGAAAATCCCTCTGAATTTTTTCAATTCTATCAGCAACAGAACATGGAATTTGAAACAAAGATAAAAAATAGGTAGGAAGAGATGAAAGAGTACTCTTTATAAGTGTGACTTTCCCACCCTTAGATAGATACTGCTTTTTCCATCCTGCTAATCTTTTCTCATATCTATTAATCACTGAATCCCAATTCCCAACCAGAGTAGAAGAAACTCCCAAAGGCAATCCTAAATAAGGAAGAGGAAAAGAACCAACTCCGCACCCTAAAACAGCAGCTAAGGAGGAAATATCTGGAACATCCCCCACTGGAACAATTTTACTTCTTCAAATTGTCCATTGTGACAATATATAAAAATATAGATGGTAAGAACGTACTATAATCTTTGGATCAAAATATATATTCAACAAGTAAGTAAACACAAAATTCCTTTTAATCACAATCATCTGCAAGATCAAAATGAGAACCTATTAGTAAACACAAAAAATGGAGGAAAATTTAACTTATCATCATTATCTTTGCCTTTATTCTATATGAATGGGGTCGGCCACATGAATTCACTTTTTTTTATTCTTTTCTACTTATAAATCAAGTCTCGTATTATATTTAATTTTTTAAGATGATTTCTAATTACTTCGTCCTGTGTAAGTTTTGGTCAAATTATTTATCCTTTCCTTTCATTGCATTCAGAGTTTTACGGTAACACCAGTTTTTGGGAAATCATTAGTATTATGCACTCGGAGAATCATAAATTAAATTCCAGGGAAATTTTACAAAATCCCAATTTTTTAAACCGAAAATACTGAATTATACAGCTAGGGAATTCAAATACCTCTCTAACCTCAATCCTTTCCAAAATCCTTACTCATTAGTAACATTTCCCTGATACATATGAAATTATCTTCTAGAGAAAATCCATATTGGAATTTTGATGAAGGCAAGTGTGGAGATCACTCTCCTCCATTTAGCACCTCCAACTTAATAGTATTTTAGTAAATTTATGAAGATTACCCATTTCTTCAACAGGGTGACCCAGTAACCTGAATTTAAAACATAATAACTTCCATTGACAGTATGCCCCATCATCCTTTACACATCCGGACTCAAAAAGTACCTTTCTGTTGTATTATAATTAATACCAACATAAAAGATAAACAAACCAATTTATAATAGAAAAAGAAACTAACAAGCTGGTTTCGTTAATATATCTAATAAGCTTCACATATAGATATAATCATTTAGCATCTTAATCATTTTACCAAACTAATGTTAGAATCTAAAATAAGTTTGAGCATAAATGAAATATAGCCAAAATGTATACCAGGTGGACATTTAGGGCCAGAAAGCACTATCAATTTTTTTGGCCAACTAGCCAAGAGATAGCCTAGCATGAACTAAGTTACCAAGCCACTAAGATTAACCTCACCAATAATTCCTAGTTTACATTTACAAACTTTTCCTCACAATGATGTACCAAATCAACAAGGCACATCAATAAAGCCACCAGAATACCCTGAACAAAAACAATGAGGTAAAAACTGATCTGACCCACTTTTAGGTTTTATTCTGTATGTAATCAAGTACATGTTTAATATGAATTGTAATTTATGAGAAGAAGAAATAAAAGGAGGAAAGAAGAATCCATCACCAGACTCAAAACGAAAGGAGTCAAGAAGCATTAGCAAATCATATTAATAAGAACATCTTATGTCTAATACGGGGGTCCGTCTTTATCCAAGTTATATCTTTATCATAACAACATTACAAATAAAATGAATAAAATGAGAAATATAAAATCCCATCCTAAGAGTCAGAAGACAAAAAGTTGAGGCATTAAATCATATTTAGGAGTATAGAACCTGTAATGTCTAATTCTGGGATTTATAAACATGAGAAGATCATACCATGTCAACCATTAACCATAAGCATCAGCATAATAGCAATATTACCTTGATGAGACATCTTCTTCAACCATCTCTTCAGAAATTTGTGTAGGAACTGACGCTTCTGTCCCTTCTTCACCAAGAAATTCTGTCAAATAGAAAGTTTAAAAAAAATTACAAAGTTAGTGAAACAACAACTTCTCAACATTAAGTTACGTTGATTTGCATGAGAACTTTCTGCCCGCGGCGGGGCGCGGGGGTTTAATCTCACCATTAAGCAAGCATCAATAATTCAATATTCTAGATTTTGATAAAATATTTTATGGTCATTTAAAAAGTGTAAATATACATGGAAATCAAATCATTTGTAACCAAACAATAAAATTCAAGGACTCTAAGTCTAAACTTTAACTATGGGCAAAAACTTCAGCCACTCGATTTTTGTTATAAAAAATAAAAAAAAAGAGAGGAAGGAAAATATCAACCATAAAAGAAGTCCATTCATAATTTTCCTTAAAAGAATCAGATATAACCCACAGATAAACATAGATACAAGAAAGAATTTTTCCCCCCTAAATGATGGAAAAAATATATTAAAAAATGTTGGATTGTTATCTACAAGATATATTTACGAAGCCCATTCATGAGAATATAAAGGCCGCACCAATTAGAGAATGAATTTAGCTGAGGGAATATAGCTACATGCAAACAAGACCAAAATCTGCAACACTAACAAGTGATTTAGTGTAACAAGATCAAGAGGAACCAAAAGGATGCAGGTATAGGCTGAGAAGTAACACATGATGGCCTGTGCTCTAATAAATCTATAGCCTTCAAGCAAGCATAAAGATAAAAGAGAATCCATGTGGCCAGCAATAAAAAGTTAGGATGACATTTCACATGAACCTGCCTTTGGTAAATTCTTCTCTACCTATTCATTATCATTATCCCAAATAAATACAATCTATATGAACAAATTGACTAGCTAAATCAGATTGCAAAAAAATATCATTATTTTGTTGATGATCGATCTAAATTTATTTTTTATTTATTGAATTTTCATTTCCATTTTTTCAATCATTGAATTGAAAAAATCAACTGAAATGGGGTTCAATCTATGGAAAACCCATTATTTATTTTTATTTAATCACACGCAGGGTTATCAAAATCGTGATCATAATCGTAGGATCACACATTTCTACAATCCGATTTGTGAAAAATCACAAAAAGGTTGAATCCTGGTAGGATCTGGGATCATGAGGATCGTCCAAGTAAAAAAAAACCGATCTTTTTTTCTCTTTTTATAGTAATTGAAAATATTAGTGAAGTGATTTTTTGAACTTTTGTAAAAAAAAATGTTGATTGTTTTATGCAATTGACATGTAGTAGATTGTGTAGCAAAATTTTCTTGATTTGTTTCGTTGAATTGGGCCTACTATCTAGTAGAACCATTATTAGGCCATATGTGCTATATGGAGCATAGTGTTGGGCTTCAAAAAGACACAAGAACAACACCTTTCATGTAGGTGAATTGAGAATACGGATGATTGGAGTGACTAGAAGAGATGTTGGGCTTGTTGGAGGGGAGGAGGAAAAGGAAAGAGGGAGGGAGGGGGGGGGGGGGGGGGGGGGGGGGCGGGGGGTGTGGTTTTTTGTTTCACTAATGAGAGAATGACAAATTAGGAGTGACACTCATCAGTGAGAAAATAAGAGAGTTGACTTGGAAGTAAGAAGAGGAAGACTAGCTTCATCAAAGCTAAGAGACGGAGAGGGTGACCAAAATTACTTCGGGATGTAATTATTAGAAATGGTTTTACAAAGTTAAGACATAATAGGTGAGATGCCCCAACTTTTTTTTTTTTTTTTTGTTGGGGGGGGGGGGGGGGGGGGGAATGACAAATTAGGAGTGACACTCGATAGTGAGAAATTAAGAGAGTGGACTTGGAAGTAAGGTGTAGCATGGTTCAGCATCATGTCCCAAAACACCAAGGCGTGGGCATGGTTCAGCACCATGCCCTAATGGACCAAGGCGTGGGCTAGGCTTGGTCAAGATTTGTGGGCTTGACTCAGTAATGCATGGCTCATGGGGCATGGCTTAGGCCATGGCACCCACTGATCATTTGATAGGCAGCAGGTGTGCCTATCAAGCAAGGAGCCAATCAGATTGTGGCATTTGTTAGCAGTTCAGAAAGGCAAGGTTGCTTATGATCAGGCGTCCAAGATAATGCAGAGTGCTTATGGTTGGTTTCTAAAACCTATCAGAGATATGGCAAGAGGCTTATATGCAGTTGAGGGCGTGTCCAATTTTCATTGGTGGATTGTCCCAGCAGTTTGGAGATATTATCTGTTTAGGTTTGCTGGCTGGTGGTCGTTGGCCAGACTTCCTAACAGTTGGGGGATGTCAACTGTAACTGTGTTGCTATATTCTGATTGGGGGATGATACCCATTGGTTGGAGTTTGTCAACCAACCATGCTGTGTCTTGGTGCAGACACATGCAAGCCAGTTGTAGGCAGTTTTGTTGAGTGCCTATAAATTGAGGATGCTAGGGGCTTAGTTTGGGGGAGAGGATGTTGTGTGTCGCATTCTAAGAGTGCTTGTGTTCCTAATACGAATTTGTATCCTAGTGAGGGAATAAAATCAAAGGTTGGGACTTTGGTCCTGTAAATCTCTGTGCCATTATTAATCTGTTCATTGAGTGTTTGGCTGGGACTTGGGTGGCCCGAGCTGGAATAAGTAAAACCCAAATTGACTATTGTTTGTATGGAAGAAGGGAATGGACCGCATGTAAAGATTTTAAAGGGTTTAAATATAACAAAGCAAAAGAGGGGCATAAAAACATCAAGTGGAAAGAACTAAAAGGTAGTAAAGCAACCACGTTTAAAAAAAATATACTGAAGGGAAAACAATGGGATTGGAATGATGATGTAAATAAATTGTAGCTCAAAATAGCAAATATATTAGGGATTAAGGGGGGAAGTTCATTAAGAAAAAGGCATGGTCATGGAGTGAGGATGTGCAACAAATAATTAAACAAATGAGACAAACCTTTAAGGCATGGCAAAAAAGTAAGCTAGAACAAGACCTAGACACATATAATAAACTCGAAGGTGAAACAAAGAAGATCATAAGTAAAGCTAAACAAAGCTCATTAACTGTCCTATATAAAAGATTAGGCATAAAAGAGGGCGAGGCGAAAAAAATATTTATAAATTAGCAAAATATCAAGATAGATCAACTAAAGACTTAAATCAAATTAGATGTATTAAGGATATGGATAATACAATATTAGTCAAAGAAAGTAATATATTTACTAGATGAAAATTTTATTTTCAAAATCTATTAAAAGAGAAATACCCTAGAGAAGGAGATTATTTTAATATAGGAATGCTAAATAAAATCACCAACAAGGAGGTGGAGAAGACACTTAAGAAGATGGGAAGTAATAAAGCCATAGGCCCGGATAATATACCTCTAGAAAAATAGTGAAAGAATGTAGGAATAAGCAGCAAGGGTCACAAGACTTCACATGGTTTTATAGACTTAAATATAATTTGGTGGGCTTTACAAATGAAAAAAAATTCCGTTACAAATTATAAAAAGTATTCCAGATATGTATATGAATACACAAACTGAAGTTCGTACAACGTGTGGAGAGACTAGTGAGTTTTCCATAAATGTGGGATTGCACCAAGGAACGGTGCTAAGCCAATATCTTTTTGCAATAATCTTAGATGAGATAAAATAAAATAATTTCAAAAAAACAAACAAGAACACCTTCATGTGGCGGAAATGAGGATGTTAAGACGGATAAGTGGAGTGACTAGAAGAGACAAAATCACTAATGAAAGGGTGAGAAAAAATAAGAGTAGCACCCATTGGTGAAAAAATTAGAGAGTAGTTTTATGTGGTTTGGACATATACATCGGATTAGTTGTATTAGAAAGGACGTCCAAAAATAACATGGGATGAGGTTATTAAAAATGACTTTAAAAGGCTTAACATAGAAGGTGAAATGGAATATAATAGAAAAGATTAGAGAGAGAGAGAGAGAATTAATGTGGCCGACCATATTCATATGGGATTAAGGCAAGGATGATGATGATAATGGTTTCCCCATATGTTTTTAATAGTATTTCTATTCTATTTACTTTTTTTTACGTTTTTTAAATTTGTTCTCTATCTTTCTTTCTTTTTTTTTTTGCTTTTTTTTTTTATTTTATAAGTAAAATTTGTTCTCTATCTTTCAAGAATTATTTATTTAGATACCTAATCGATCCAACATAAGTGAAATGGGATATCATAGAAAGGATTGGGGAGAGAGTTCATGTGACCGACCCTATTCAATGAATTTAAGGCAAGGAGGATGATGATAATGCTTTTCCCATATGTTTCTAATAGTATTTCTATTTTTATTTTTTTTACGTTTTTAAAATTTGTTCTCTATCTTTCAAGAATTATTTATTTATAAATAAAGTTTGAGACTTTTTCTCACTCATTTTGTAGGATCTCACAATCCTCGATCTGATGCTATTGACCCCCTAATCGATCCAACATAGGATCCTTGATCAGATAGCATAATCATATAACGGAATAGACGTATTGCTTCACATAAGAATGCACATAAAATACCAAAGGGAGTTATTCATGTTCAAGCAAGTTTGAACAATTCCATTGCGACTGTTATGAAAAATCATAGAGGAGGTTTGAAAACTATTGCACCAAATTTATTTTAAGTACCTAATGGCCGATTGATGTAGTAGTTGACTGAGCTACATATTTGTGAATCACTATCAGCGCTTGGCTCCTATACTCAATTTCCAAAAAGCATATGAAAGTTAGAATTTCAAATTAATTACATGTGACCACATTTCACCAAAAAAGAAGGGCATGACATATACACAAAGCTGACCTGCATCCAAAGGAAGAACTTCCTGTCATCGGTATTGAACTTCAAAATATAAACTCTTCCAGATGCTTGATTAACCTATAATACCAAGAATGAATTAGACACAGAATTATTACAAGTACCAACAAGATCTGATTCAATCAAGATGAACATGTCAAAACAAGGTAAGGTACCTTCTCAAATACTGCTTCATCGGGGAAAACAATCTGATCCTGCATACCTTCTGTTAAAGAAAAACCATAGGAATCCAAGCCATAACAAATGTAGTAATAAATTGAGTAGCAAGAACAAAAAGGTGAAAGGAAAAGGAAATGCCATCCAAGCACAGACCTCGAGTTGGGAGCCAATGTAAATTATGAAGTCAGGAGATAGTAAAACAAGGTACACAAATTAAAATAACAGCAATGACCAGTGAAAACCACAACTAATTCACACAAAATTAAACAGTAAACAAAAATCGAAACAACATATAATAAGTATTATTAACTTTTGACTTCCTGCACCTTTTGCAGTTTGACCCCATACACACACGTGCACACAGTGATCAACAATAATATAACATCAAAATGCAAAAGAAACAAAATAATAATTAGGATACATCTTCAACGACATTCCGAGTTCGATCAAGCCACTGAAAATGAACCAATCCCTCCTCACCCTAACAAAGGCAAGGAGGGTTAGTTAAACTATAATTATCCAACTTCAACACTTTAAAAATGCTTTAAACTTGAAATAAATCTAAGATGGAAACATTGAGATTTTACTTGAGAATGTTTGAGGGAATAAACAATAACAAACGAAACAAATAAAAAATATATCTATTTCATTTCTCATACCCTTGCTATGCGAACCAGTCCTTTGCGTGTATCAGGGACCACACGTTTTCCTTCAAGAAACATTTTGCCAGCACGAAATTCCAGCATAATATCCTGTCCATAAGAATTCAAAGATAAGAAACATGCAACACATATCACTGCTAACAGAGTAGAAATGTTATACATGCACACAATTTATTACACCCTAATTGGTGAGACTATAAATTGTCCCTATAATAACAATCAAAAACAACAATAGCAGAAGCAGCAAAAGTAAAAGCAGAAGAAGAAATATATAAGAGATGCAGAGAATTACCAACCACCAAATTAAGGCAAGATGAAAATTGAAAATGAATGCAATAATATTTAAAGACAGCATCAGTGTACTATAAGTTATAATTTATCAAGCTTGTAGCAACTGAACTTCTAACTGATATATGATTGATAAACAAGTATGAACTGAACTCTACCTATCAATAAGCTAAAACAAACATCAGCCACTTAACCCTACCTGTCAATCAGATCTTCGGCCAGTACTCAAACAATTGTCATTCCATAGATATAATCACAAATAATTTGACGTGATGTATGAAAAAAGGAGAGAATATTAATAATTTGATGTGATGTGTGACAAAAGGGGAGAATATTACCAACTAAATTCTCAAAATAGCATATAGAGACAAGAATATAAACCATGCAAATTAATCCATCCATACCTGGACTGCTGCTAAACTTTCTTCTGCTGAGGAACCCATGAGTCTGCACACCTTTTACTGCCACATACAGCCAACAGAGAGGAAAAGAAGTCTTAAAAATAACCAATAATCAATAAACATACTCAGAATCATAGCTAAACATTTGCTCAAATTTATCCGAAGAAAAAACAATCAAGAAACTCATTCAAGAAATGAATACCAGGACCATGAAATTATAAATACCTATACCTATAACAATCAAACATGGGTAAACAAGGGTAAGGTATTAAACCAACACTCCCCGTAACAAAGGTTAACAAAACAAACTTTCACACAACATTTTTCAAATGAACAAACAGAGGTAAGAAATTAAACCAGAATTTCAATTCACAAACAGTTTCAGAAAGACCAACTAAAATTTACATCCAACGAGTTAACAAGTAAGAAACATAAACCCTAATTTTAGTTACTGATCCAAAGAATGTTTAAACTTTTAATAGAGAAATTAAATAAATGGGTTTATAATACTACTACCTCTCGTATTCGAATCTTCGAAATATCGGATGATGAATTTGAGAAACCTCTCGTTGAATCGGTGATATATATATATATATATGTTTCTATGTTTATATGTATGTGTGTAGAAGAAGAAGAACGAGACAGAGAAAGAGAAAGAGAGGATTTATGGAGTAATAAATAGTTCGAACTGGGGAGCTTTGGGGCTGCCTATTTATTAAATGGTGATGGGCTGGTGTCAGCAGATCCTAATCCCAATATTTGGGCTTTAAAATTAGGCCCATTCTAAACTCAACGGAGCCTGACCCAACAATCCTAAGGTTGCATTTGAGGCCTCCCAATCTTCATGCGTATTTGTATATTATTTTGAACATTGACATAATAATCTCTCCCTTCCTAGTGCTATCCAATGAGAGTTACTATGGAGAAGACAGCTACAAAGGGCCGAGTTTTCTTTCATTTGAAAAGAGGAGGAAACTTGTAAGGTCCTTTGCGGATCAGAAGAGGATTGATTACACTTGTATCTATCGACACTCCTTAATTGTATAGATGCATTTAAAGAAATCTCTAATGGATGAATAATTTAAATAGCCGAGGATAAGGAGTAAGATAAGTTCTACAGATTAAAATTAACTACTCGCATAGGTTACGACGATAACTCGGCGTTACACCATTTCTCCAGAGAGAGATTACTTTGCACACTAACTTGTTCGGTAACACACCGATGCTTGTAGGATCACTGAAGGCTCATTACTTCAACAAAAACAATAAAACATCAACACAGTGCGGACGAATCGTGACTGATGGTAAAAATTGAGAATTGGAAAGGATGTTGGAACAAAATTATCCCTATTTGATGGAAGTAGGAGTTTAGCATTAATCTAGTTTAGTGTTTTTTTTTGTTGTTTTTAGCATCATGGTTTGCGTGTAGACTCTAAACTCGACCGGATGAATACTAACCCCTAACCCAAAAATCTCACGGTTGCATTTGAGGCTCCCAATCGTCGTGCATATTTGTATTTTCTTTTGAAAAATGACAAAATAAATTTTAAGGCAGTGTCCTGGAATAATCTCTACCTCAATGTGCTAATTGGGCAATTATCCAATATTAGTTATTTATTTATAGATAAATCAGAATCACTCATCCGATTTAGAGACTCAAAAACCCAACATTATGAAAAGAGGTTTGATAACACCTATATTTATCGACGCTACATTTTAAAAAAAGTCATGAATAATATCTACAATAAAAAATATGTAAAACGAATAATGTCGGCAAGTATTATGATAAAAATTGAGAATTGAAAAGAAAAATGGAATAAGTATCCTTACTCAATGAAAATGACCTACTTATTGGAATTGGTCATTTCCTCCTATTGTTTCGTTAACTAGAAAGGATAGGAAAAGGTATCACGGGATTTTATCATTAATTACATTCTTTTATTTTATTATTATTATTATTTTTGGGTACATAAGAAGCGGAAAGAGAGAAAAAGAAAGGCCCCTCCTTGCGCGATCACAAATGTCCCGTATCTTGCGAAAAGTGGAAGGAAAAGGAAAAGAAAATAACTTTTTCTAGTATAGTCAAATAAGGCAAGGCCAACTAGAAAATAACAACTGCCCGTGATTTGCTTGGTAAAACACCCTTGATGGCATTGTCGAGGAAACGAGTCAATGACATTTTGGATGGATGGTTTCCATCACATTGAAAACAGTTTGCTTAATTTAGAAGAGTGTTTGTTAAAATATTAGTTTGTTGATTTGGAGAGAGGGAGAGAGAGAGAGGGAAAAAAAAAACCTCTCTTTTATGAGAGACATGTAGAGAGAGAATAAAATAGGAGGGAATTGTAACCTTCTGTAGAAGGGGGGTTGGGTTCAGAGACTGGAAAGCTTCCATTAGCTTGGAAGTTGAAGCAAATGGGTGCTGAGGAAAAGAAGAATCAGAATCAAAATCAGAATCAGAATCAGAATCAGACCATAGCAGTGGCAATAGACAGGGACAAAGGAAGCCAAGCTGCTTTAAAATGGACTGTTGATCAGCTTCTTGGAAAGGGCCATGCTGTAACATTACTCCATGTTAAACAAAGATCACCCATCATCCCCTCTCACAGTAACTCTCTCTCTCTCTCTCTCTCTCTCTCTATATATATATATATATATATCTCACTCACTTTCATATGCTTTATTTACAGTAGAAATAGTTGGGCAAACAACCAGGGGATTAAAAAAACCCTAATCTTATGCTATTGGTTTCATGGTGAATGATGTAATGACTGGTGAAAAAAAAAATGTATAAATACATCCATAGCATGGAATTGGTGCATTGGAATGGGAAAAAAATAACATATTGAAAGACATTTGTGTCATGCTTTTAAACGGCTAGCTAGAGTACATTGAACCCTGAAGGTTTATAAATTCCAATGATTTCCCGGTAAACAGCCCCACCATCAACAGCTGCCAATGCCAATGCTAAGGATTTTGTCTGGAATATATTCTATTGCGTGACCTGATTGATCATGTTATATATAGTTTCAATAAGTTTTGCCCAACAAGAGAGAGATTAAAGAATAAATTGATAGATATAGAATGATCTGGAGGAAAAAGCAAAAAGCACAAAAACTTTTTAAGATAAAAAATGAATCATTTATTTCAGCAGCTAATTATAGTTTAGTCAGAACATTATGCTACACAACATGATATATTTAACCTCAATATATATCATGCTTTATATGTATTTGTAAGGTTAGCAGCACCTCTTTCTCACATTATGCATTATGACCGCATACATTGTTCCTAATGACAGTTTCTTGGGCTTTTCTTTCCCCCCTTTTATGGATGCAGTGGGGAATCAATCTCATGTTGATACTCAATCCAAGGAGTTGTTCCTTCCCTTCCGTTGCTTTTGTACGCGAAAGGATGTGAGTCATCTGCTTTCTCCAAATTATTCATTGCTTCATGTTCTGTTTAATTGTTCCCCAAAATTTTTCCTTTGGCTGTAAGATCATTTTCTCTGCACCCTGCAATGAAGTTACAAAACAGAAAAACGAAATAAATATAACTAAACCAAAAGCAGTAAAAAGGGATGAATTTGAGAAAATTGCAAGCAAAAACTATCAAGACATTGTGAGAATTGTTTATGGTCAATTTGAGCTCATCTGATATTATAATTCACGTTCATTGAAGCTTCTCATGGTCTTTATTTCAAGTTAAGAAAGTACAGAAAAAGGTTAAGAAATAATTTACCATACTGATTTTGGTTTCCTTCCCCAATGGTTGCCTTTTCTCTACAGATAAAATGCAATGAAGTCATTCTTGAAGACATGGACATTACAAGAGCCTTGTGTGATTATGTTAGGCTCAACTTAATTGAGATTTTGGTAGTTGGTGCCCCGACAAGGACCAGTGTCATTAGGTAATTACTTCTTTTTAAGTTTACCTGCACTACCACCATAAAAAATAGCAAAATAACTAGCTTTCAACAAAAACACAGGCGTGCACGACATTACGTTAGCAAACACTTAAAGATCACTCAAAGAACAAAAAGAATAGCATTCTAATTAATGGGAAAAAAGGAATCTACCTCAAAGAATGTAACCATACGGTCAATCATCCCCTTACTGCTACAAAAAAGAAAAAGAAAAAACAAAACATAAAAGAAAATCTATAGGTATCAGTCTAGTTACTCTGATTAACCTAAAGTTTTCCAATTCAAACCTGCTCAATGGTTCAGTTCGAAACTAAGGTACACAATTTCAACTTTTAGGAAATATAACTTATCAAACAAGTACTAATATCGAAACTCTGAAAGAAATGTCAGGAATTTGATTTTTTCTTTCAATATCAAGTTATTTTGGAATATCAGAAAATATATTTCAAACTCATATACAATAATTCCTCTATTTTGAAATTTGCTGAAAAATTAATACGGATTCGGGGATGTTCATTTCATCATGGACTGTGACCCAAATGGATGTCAAAATTAAATTTCCAAGTGTTGGAATATTGCCCCGCAGATTTTCAATAAATTATAGCAAACTAACCTCCCATTAATGCAAAACAGAATTAACTAAATAAATGAAGGTAAATTCCATAATCACTAGCACTGTGCTTTGTAGCCTAATTTTGTTTAATCTACAGGAGATCAGAATTTCAATTCACAAAATATACTATGTAATTTAACGGATTTGGATTAGTTTACATGTATTGCATAACAAAAAGCAGTAGATGATAATTCTTAGCTAATATCTAGTGACATGAGCAATATTTGTTTCTCAATTTCTGCCTGGACAGAAAAATGTAATCCATAATATCCCATTACTCACAAATCTTTTTTCATGGAAGATTCAAGACAGATGTTCCAAGCAGCGTTTCAAAAGCAGCACCAGACTTCTGCACTGTGTACATCATCTCCAAAGGTAAAATTTCATCAGTGCGAAAAGCCTCCTATCCAGTTCCGAACCCGCCCCAACATAATCAATTGCAGAACAAAACCAACGCCATTCCAAATCTGACTGATGCACATTCCTTGCAAAACATCAACTCAAGAGGTCTGCTTCTATAATTTTAGTACCATGTCATTTCCCAATTATTTGATATTTATCACTGTTAATGAGGAATCATCCGGATTCTATTTCTGCAGCAGAGAAGATACCATTTAGACCTCAAAACTTGACCGAGGATGACGAGATCAGGTAAGTTCCATTACACTTTAAGCAAAGTGGGGAAAAGTGGCTTACACCTGTAGTTTAACATGCAATAGATTGAGATGATCACAAAACATTGATAACAGAAAGTCTATTTGTACCTATACCTGCAAGTTGATATAAGTTTCTTCTTGCTCCCTCTCTCTCTCTCCCATGTAAAAACTGTAACATGTGATTTTAGTTTTTTACTATATTTATACATACTAGTAGCCGCATCTTTAGCATTGTTTGTCAGGCATTTAGGAGCCAGGCAAGACAAAATTGACCTAGGTTTTGCCTAAATTGTTTTAACAGCTTTGAAAGTGGTTAGATAGTTTCAGTGATGAAGCCAAGTGCAGTATATTAGGGGGAAAAAAACAAAGGAAAAAAAAATATCTTTCAGAGATCATTAAAAGGAAACTATCCAGTGTTGGTTGCTGATTGCTTATAAGCAACCATCTACAAAAGAGAAGAGTATATGAAAAACTGAAAGAAAGGTAGCTGTTTAGTTTGCTATGGAATGGGAGCCAATTCATAGAACAAAAGCACTGACCTGGTAACTACTGATACAGGTCACCCTTTGATAGATGTAGAGCTTCAAACAGACCATACGAGGAGTTCACATTGTGCAATAGCGACATATCATTTGTGAGCTCTGACAGGCCAAGCACTGAACACACGCAGCATTCTTTTCTTGACAATCAGGAGTTAGCTATGGCCCCTTGGCTTTCATCCAGCTCAGAAGCAGACAACAGAAGTGCTGGATCATCATTCTCAGGATCCAGGTTAGCTGAAATGAATATGATGAGTGGATTCTCACCAAACTCGCTGGAAAGTTCAAATTTTTCATGGTCATCAGCACAACACATGGTATGCAGTTTAAATTCCCAAACAGAGCATTATTGTTAACACAAATTCAGGAATCAAACAGAAAAACCCTTATGTAACTATAATATAGTCAGGAAAAATATTCAAGAATTATTTGCAACACATGTGATGAAAGCTTAAATTCACATATTAATTGGTTTGGATTTTTAGAGTTACTAGTGTTGGAATTATCAATCAGGGATCTACTTTTAAATTTTACTTGTTAGGTTTTGCACATTCTAGAGGAAATGACCTCTAAGCTTTACCTGAGCATAACTCAAACTATCTATTAAATATACCCAACCCCTGAGAGTGTAGCCTCAGAAATTGTGCATCGAAAGATAACATGGTTTTTGCATTAAAATATAATGATGCGAATGAAGTGAGAAACAGTCATACTAAATACTTCTCAAATTTGTAGGAAGACATGGAAGCTGAAATGAAGAGGCTCAAGCAAGAGCTCCAGCAGACAATAGACATGTACAGCACAGCCTGCAAAGAAGCACTTGCAGCAAAACAGAAGGTAAATGAGCTGAGATTTTAGAGTTTTGGTTTTGCTTTAACATCAGATCTTCAGCCACATCACCAAAAATAAAAGAAAAAGGAAAAGAAGAAGAAGAAATAAATGCATTAGGCAGTGTATGTCCCGCTTGCGTGGGATGCTGCAAGGGAAGGGCAACAAAACTGAAGGTTCCAAGTTGAGATCTTAATGTTTTGATTTTTCTTTCATATTTAATCATTAGTCACATCAAAAAAAAAAAAAAAAAAAAAAAAAAAAAAAAAAAAAAAAAAAGTTGCATTACCCAGTGTATATCCTGTAGAGACTGTATATTGAGAAGAGGAAGACTAGAGACAACCGAACCTGTAACATTATTTTACACAAAGGGGCTGCTTACGGACTTGAACTTGCAGCCTCACACTTGAATGAACTTTCATCATTGCACCAAGTAACGAGTAACAACCCCTCTTCAGGTTCTTTAAAATGAGCTATCTAAATTTTTTGAAATCATATAAAAGTTGATTAAAATAGTGACAAAATATTATGTATTAAAGAAAGAAAGAAAAAAACTTTAAAATGAAAAGCCAAAATTTAATCCTTACATCCAGGGTTATATATAACAGCACAAGTTCAAAAATATTTTTGTTACAGGCAATGGAACTTCAACGTTGGAAAGTGGAAGAACAAAAAAGAATAGAAGAGGCTCGACTAGCTGAGGAAGCAGCATTGGCAATTGCAGAGAGAGAAAAGGCCAAGTCTAAAGCAGCCATGGAGGCAGCTGAAGCAGCTCAGAGGATTGCCCAACTTGAATCACAAAAAAGAATGCATGCTGAAATGAAAGCACGCAAAGAAGCGGAGGAGAAGAAGAAGGTACTAGATGTGCTGGCACAAAGTGATATCAGGTACCGGAAATACACTATAGAAGAGATTGAAGCAGCAACCGAGAATTTTGCAGATTCTCGCAAAATTGGGGAAGGAGGTTATGGACCAGTATACAAGTGTTATTTGAATCATACACAGGTCGCAATAAAAGTTCTTCGTCCAGACGCAGCTCAAGGAAGGTCACAGTTTCAGCAAGAGGTGTGGCTTTTTAGTGCATCAAATAAGTTTAATAAACTAAATCATTTACTGGCATAACTTCCATTCTATAACATAACACATTCATCAGTTTCTTCTTCCATTTTTTTCCTAAATATTTACAGTTAATATTACCTTGATGCAGGTTGAAGTCCTAAGCTGCATAAGGCATCCCAACATGGTTCTCCTCCTTGGAGCCTGCCCGGAGTATGGTTGCCTAGTCTATGAGTACATGGCTAATGGTAGCTTAGATGATCGTCTATTTCGGAGAGGGAACAGTCCAGTTCTTCCATGGCAAATAAGATTTCGGATTGCCGCAGAGATTGCTACTAGCCTTCTTTTCCTCCACCAGACTAAACCAGAACCATTAGTTCACCGTGATCTCAAACCCGCCAACATTTTACTTGATCATAACTTTGTCAGCAAGATTAGTGATGTTGGATTAGCTAGGCTTGTTCCCCCGTCCGTGGCCGACAACATAACTCAATATCGCATGACAGCGACAGCTGGAACTTTCTGTTACATAGACCCAGAGTATCAGCAAACTGGCATGCTCGGAACAAAGTCTGACATTTACTCATTCGGGATCCTACTTCTTCAAATAATTACATCCAAACCCCCCATGGGTTTGACTCATCATGTTGAACGGTCAATCGAGAAGGGGACTTTTGCTGATATGCTTGACCCGGCTGTTCCTGACTGGCCAGTGGAAGAGGCCTTGGATTTTGCCAAGATAGCTCTTAAATGTGCAGAGTTAAGGCGGAAAGATAGACCAGACCTTGGTACCGTCGTATTACCTGAGCTCGAAAGGTTGAGAGCACTTGCAGAAGAGAGGATGCCCAACATCATGATGTTTGCTGGTAGCCCAGGAACCTCACCAAGTCAGAGCCAAGTTTCCACAACATCTCAAGTGAGTTGATGTGAATGGGGACATTGGTTCTTGAATTTTTTTTTTGTCAGTGTAACTGTTTTAATGTGTTCAATTGAGAAGATTTCAAGTTTCAATCAATCTATGAAGACGTTACAAGTTGCTGCACCATATTTTGCAGGACATTTTAAGTGACCCTCAGCTTCAACATTCTGGATATGGAAGTTCACCGAGCCGCTCAAGCACATAATCATTACTGACATACAGAAGATCAAGTATGGATCAGTGCAAGCACATAATCAAGTATAGATATTGATAAGCATATACAGTTTTAGAAAATAAAAAAAGAAAAGCACACACACACACACATCAGTTTGGAAGTTTAAGGTAACTGGAAGCTCATTCTATGTAATTTATTTCACAAAGGCCGAAGATTGGAACTTAAAGTTGCGTTCTAAGTCCTTGCTGATATATTATTATACTATTGAGAATTCATGAGTTGTGGGTTTGGTGCAGTGTTGTATTTTAGGAGGCACATATGAGAAGTGAGGCGTACATGCATGCGCGTACACTTACACATCATACTCCCTCAGTTTTTTTATTCAAGTAAAATTGCAAAAATGATGAAAACACTTGTTTTCTTTTTCGAACATTTTCTTTCTGATTTTTTTTATTTTAAAAGTAACAAAGTAAATATGCAGTCTCAGGAACGGTGACAAGTAAAATCTCAAGAAATATCAATTAGAGGAGAACCATAATCTCCTTGGAATATTTTAGCCTGATCATCGCACTAAGAAAGCAGCTCTTCCATCTGCACTCAATATACCCAACATGCTCAGAAACTGAGAGCTATCAAGTCCCTAATGGCCTCAAGTGTTAGCTTCAATTAATTAATTGAAAGTGACAAATATATATATATATATATATAGGTAGCATATGGGGCTTTTGACCATACAAGCACTTTTCAGCCACAGAAGCCCTTTCAAGGAGAACTTTTTTGTGTTTGGTGACATAACATTGAAGGACTTGTACGAGAAGCAGATGATCCCTCAAAACCATTTTAAAGAATTTCGTTCAGGAAGTACCGGAAAACAATTTCTTAAGAAGTGGGTCACTTTTTAAGTGAATAATTTTAAATCCCACAATGATCCCTCGTATTGTCTTCTTTTTTCACCTTCAGACCCAAGGAACCGAGGGCCATCAAAGCCCACAATTCCCATGGCATAGTCAGCTTCACCTTTTTCCAGTACGTTCATTAAGAAACCTAACCACGATGGCTTCACTCACCATGCAATCCCACTTGACATGGTCCATTTTGGCAGCCATGTGAGATTCATGTTCACCTGTTTCGCAAAATCAATGCTAGCCATACCCCATGAGATTAAATTGTTTCAAAACGTGGGAGACAGAAGACGACTGGAATTAACATGAGATGAAATTATTTCAAAAAGTTAATTATTATAGGAGAGATGGCTTGTAATAGAAAAGAATGAAAAAAGAAAATTCATGTGGCCAGCCTTATTCATATGGGATTAAGGCAAAGATGATGATGATGATGACCTACCCAATGGTGTGTTGTTCCAATGCATATATCGTAACCTCTAGGCTCCTCTCTTCCATGTAGACGAATGAAGGGTTCTGTTCAACTCCATGAAGTTTAGGTTATTACAACAACCAACATGACATGTAGCGAATTAAAAAACCTGAAAGAAAGAAACTTTTCCGAATTAACCTTGGTCATTGTTCATCTGAATGATTTGGCTATAAATACAAAAAAAATAATAATAATGATTAAATAAGAATGAACAGAACAACCGGGGGCACATCCAAGCAGTACCCAAGAGGATGTTTAATCAGGCTGATCTCATCATCCTGTAGTATAAGACTCGGTGATAGTCGCAGGTCATTCTTGATACAAAAAAAAATAAGCAGTTAAGAGGTAAGATATTTGCTCTTACCAGTGAGCATATTTCCCAAACAACTTGTTACGGTCTATTGGTTCATGAATCTTAACCAGCATGCTACCTGTCAGTAACTCCAATTCTTTTTTGGTAAAGGCAAGCATCCGCATCCCAACCAGGACTTTAAGTATTCTGTACCTCACCCTTTGGGGATACCATTGAAGCTAACAGCCAGTGATCAGTAGTTCCAAAATATTTGGTTACTTCGGAATTTTTTCTTGAGATAGGTTGCAATCAGCTTCTTATAAGTCCAATTCTTTTGCCTCCGAAACTCCATAAATGCCTCTGAGCTTGAGTGGAAATCTCCTTTTCCCAAAGCCTCAAACACAAATGGATCTGTTGATACTATTGGAAAATCATTCATATTCATTTTGCTCAAAGCAAAATCCAAGTTCCTTCCTAGTCTTTTGTCTAAGTACGCATCAACAACACAACCATAAGTCACAAGGTCAGGAACAACGCCTTCATGTTTCATATGTTCAAGGCTTACATGGAGATCCCAGAACAAAGACATCCTTGAAAAAGCCAGAGATCTGATGTTAAATGTTGTAAGATCAGGATAGAATCCAGCTTCGATCATTCTCAGGAATTCTCTTTGCAAGCTTTTCATTTTGAAATTGGCAGCATAGGATAGAAGCAGAAGGTTCCACAGAAGATTTCCCACATTTCTCCTACCAAGACCCACATCCCTCAGGAACTCACCTAAGACATAAAATTTCCTTTCTTTCATATATGCAAATGACATCGCCCTAATTCCTTCTCTCTCTATGAGAATCCTAGAACTCTTCAGACTGCAATAAGCAGCCTCCATTTCAGTAAGAGAACCAAAAATGCTATAATATATGATTAAAGAATTCCCGGTAGCAGAATCAATTGAGAAACCCCTTGAAACCATCTCCTTCAATGTATTTTCCATCATCTCAAGCCGACCTCCTTTGCCAAAGCAAGAGATAGTCAACGCATAAATCTTAGGTAAAATGTTGAAATTCCTCGAACTTATTTGATGCAGAATTCTAGTCACTTTATCAAATTGTCCTGTCCTACCATAGGCATCAATTAGTTCTGAAACTATTTGAATATTAGGCACTGAACGGTTTAAGATTTCATCCCAAATGGACTGTTCTTCGGGAAAAAAACCATTATCTGCGTAGCATAACATCATAGCTGACAAGGTAGAGTCGTCAAGTTCGAAACCCTCAGATTTCATTTCAAGTAATAGCTCCTGGGCAACACGGGGTAATTTTTTTCTGCTTAAGGTTTGTATTAAAGAAACACAATTTATGTGACTCTCACGGTGAACGACACCTCCTTCCCGCTTCCAGTGCCAAACTATCTGTTCTAAGAACACGCCAGAAATAAGAACCAAAACATCAAAGCAACTTCAACATAAATGATGCTTACAACATGAAGTTCAAAAATCATTACGAAACCTGCATAATTGACAAAAAACATGAAAATGTATGTGAAAGTAAAACCCAATAACAAGGATGAAAGAATTGCTTGTTTTCATGTTCTGTATCAAGATAGGGTTCAAACTTCCCTACATAGCAATATCAATGGGAAGAACCAAATAATGCATCAGGATAAGCTGGCAAAAATGAAAATCATGTGGATATAAATGATAGTAGAAACAAATGTTCAATAGATTGGGTTAACTAATCAATATATGCCTGGAATATAAAGTTGGTTCAAGAGATTTGCTGAGATGATGTAACAGAAGTTCCTTACACGGCCTAATTTTTCCAGTGCCGGGATTTGTATTACAAGTTACAACCCAATTCTCTTATTATATTTACTTTTTAAAATATTTTTCAATAACTTAATCTCATGTTAGTTTTAGTATTACCTCTTTGTCTCTTACCTTCTATGCAAAATAATCTTCTTTTTTTCTTTTTACACTATCTGACCCAAAATTTATCATCTAAAGCATCATATATAACCTACAAGTTCTTTTTCACGTCTCAACAAGAGAATTCAAATTCAAGTGAAATTTCGTGTTTTAGATTGATGCAATTTTTATAAGTTGTAACTAGGAAGGGTAATGCAATTATACACCAAGCTGTTTTTAAGTACATCATATAACCCTTGCTTCACATTAGTAACGAAAACCCATAGCAAGACAGAACTTACATACATATACATACATCTATATAAATAAATATACACACACATACATATATAATCATAAATAAATGAAAATAGTTCAACGAAAAATGAACAGAAAAGGCCAAATTTTACCTTCCGCGCTAAAGCCCGATCTGGAGAGTCTTTTTTTTGGAAACAAACCCTAAAACGCTTCGAATTAAGAACACAGAGAGGACGAGTTACAGAGACATAGGCAGGTGATATTGCTTCCATTTTTGGGGAGAGAGGGGGAGAGAGAGTGTCAAAAGTGGATATGGGTTTGGATGAGTGGTGGTTGCTTGGTTGGTGTTGAATGCAAAACTGTCAATTTAGCCCAATCGGCCCAAGTGGGCCTTCAATTGGGTTTGTTTGGAAGAGTGGCTGGGTTGTCAAGGTGGTGTTATTTATATAGCCCAATTGGCCCAGCTGCGCTTTACAAAATATAATAACCCAATTTTGATGCTCCCTTTTTTCTCTTCTGCTTACAAAAAGGGATTCAAACAAGGACACACTCATCCCCAGTTGTGCTCTACTAATTAGATGTTATAAGAGATATTTGTGTCACATCATATCTGAATGGAAAGTGAAAGTGGTATATATGGGCTGGATGGTAGCCCAACCTAACAGTTTAGGCTTTTGGGTCAGATCGTGAAACACCCATTTGTTACAGTTGGTATCAGAGCCAGATCCAATCCTTGATCCGGTGCCACGCCAAGCACTTGATTTGGAAGGCATTCAGGTGAGCCACTCAGGTAAGCAAGATGGCTAGAGTGTTAATCCCATCTAACAGTTTAGGCTTTTAGGTTAGATTGCGAAGAACTCACTCGTTATAATAGGCCACTAAATTGAGTCTACAAATAAATAAGTCGAACTCAAAACGCTACTTGACACGATTCATTTGACCCGACTTGATTTATTTACAACCCTAACTAATGATAAGCAAAATTTTGATCGAGTTTGAAACCAACTCTCTCAACTCGTGATGCACTCAAACTAAACTCAAATTGAGTCAGCAATACAGTCGAACTCAAAACACTACTCCGACCTCGTTCATTTACAACCAACCCTAGCAATGATTAGCTTTGATTTAAATGGTTGTCATTCTCAATGGCCAGGGCCAAAGGGTCCAAGGGGTCCTTGGAATTAATATCAGAAAGCGAAAACAGCATTTGGATGAAGAAGCTGAGGTAACATGTCTCCTTGCCAAATGAACGGTCTTTTAAGGACCATCAATTAAAGTGGACTTTCTTCCACCGCAGATACAAACACTCTACTTCGTCCTCTTGTACCATATATATATAGGATTGGAGAATTAGGAGTTATACTTTTCCAAACAAACACTAATAATAAATACTACTATCATTTTCCTTAAGTAAACTATGCAGAATATCGTCAATTGTTTAATCATAGTTACATTTTACGATCGCATGAAGTCAAAGTTTTGAATTTTTAACTAGATGAATTTCTTAAAAAATGTTGATGTGATCGTGAAAAAATACAATACTTTGCACTTTAAGCGGATGTTCAAAGTCCAATTTATCCTTTTAAGCCTGTGAATTTATCAAAATGATCTACGCAAAAAGTTGTACTTGAGGGCACAAAAAATAGCATATAGCACATGAATTGTATTTGCATGAATAAAAGTGGTACATAGACTGAATGAATTTTTAAACATTTTTTTTTTAAATTAAACATAGTAATATAACATTTGTATGACCTTATGTTTTATTATTGTTCCATAAATTAGTTTATGTTTATCGTTTGTCACCAAAAATAACAGACACTACATTGACAATTGAAAACAAATAATTAAATTTTTATCTCCGGTTATCAAAATGATCTATAAACAAAAATGGAACTTGATGGTACAATAAGTGACACCCTAAGGACACACAAATTGTACTCATACCTATTTAAAAGATAATTTGGAAATCAACTTAAAATGCGCACTGCTTTTTCATATTCATACTAGCATTTTTTTTAAATCAAGGCTTTCACTAATGTGACCATAAAATGGGCCCCTAAGTTCATGTATGTATAATTTTTCCAAAAATATACTTACTTTTATGGTAGACTAGCTGCAAGTTGTGTCCACTTTGAAAGTTCTGAGGTTTAGGGACAATGCAAACCCTAGCACTTATGATGGGAAAAATTGCAACTTAAATTTATTTAGGGTGGAAATGGAACTTTAATAGCATTGCAATGTAGTCTGTGTAGGACTGAAAGTCATGGTCATGACTAATGAATGAGTGAGAGATGTGACCCATACACTTTTAGGGCCCTTATTGAGGATGAAGCAATTTATGGAACAGACCTATAATACTATTTCTTTCACTTAGGTCTGCCGGAGTGGTAAAGTGCCCTTCAAAAGGGAAATATTGGAGAGGAAACAATTTATGGAACAGACCTATAATACTATTTCTTTCACTTTGGTCTGTTGGAGTGGTCATTTGCTTTTCATATTTTGTTTTGATTTGAAACAAAAATAAGTATTTTGTTGCATAGTATTTTGAATAGAATTTGAATTATATTTGGTCGGATACATTTGTTGCAAGATTTATAAAAATATAAATATAAAAACGTGTTTAATAAAAAAAGTGTTGAAAATTTAAAAAATATAATAACTAGTTTAAAATATAATTTAAGAATTTTTTTTTATTTTTATTGTTCATCATTATAGTAGAACATGTAAAAATTTAATATTTTTTACTATTCATTGTTACAGCTCAGGCCAAAAACAAAAAAACAAAAAAATAAAACCGTATACCAAACATACCCTTAATAAGGGTATAATAAGATATATGTGTCTCATTGTTCCATTAGAAAAGGCACTTAAGCACCCCCATTAACTTGTGGAATTTAAATAAAGCAAATATCAATTAGAATCTCCCAAACTTAAAAAATCAATGTTGTTATGGCCCTCTCTCTAAGTGAGAATATGCTTAGGCCTTATAGTAAAACATTATTATAATTTTTCTAGAGATTAGAAAGTATTTGTTAGGCCTAAATGATAAGTTTTTATATGGAGATCTCATTACCACTTTTCAAAAACCATGGATGGTTGGTTCTCAATGACCACTCTTTTAACAAACTCAGCCTTTTCTTGATTTTCAAATCAAACTCTCCTATTATTGTGATCTCATCCCTCTTTATATTTAGATATTTCTTTCTCCACCATTGTTCATTCTTTATTTATAAATTAGACCCACTCAAAATTTTCAAACCACTCATCATTCTTTATTTACAAATTAGACCTACTCAAAGTCTTCCATTATTATTGTGTGGGCCCCCCATTCCCTTGCATGAAATATCCCCAACATTTCTACCTCTGCTCATCACCTTTCCCCCCTTTTATGATTCCCTCCATCAATCAGTGGGCCCACATATTTTCTCTTTCTCTCTTTTTTCCTAATTGGCCCCATTACTTTATTTATTTTCATATTTGACAAGACTTACACTTTTCGTTGTGGTCTTCAGACTCTTTTAAGTACTTTTTAGTTGAAGTGGCTATACAAAAATATACATATTAATAATTGACGGCTCTTGTATGACATTAGAGCCCTCCAAATGTCTATGACATTAGAGCCCTCCAAATGGACCTAGTACATGCATGTACTACGCATGCTAAGCAACAGTCCAAGAACAATTAATTTTTTTTTAAAAAAAATTAATTAATTTATTTTTTTGGATTTATTACACACACGCCTCTTATATTCACATTAATTACAATTATATGTTAAATTTGACAGCTGATATCAACGACACCCATAGCGTTAGCTACCCATATCGTTAGCCATAGTTGTTGTGTCAAGCCTCTAATACCATGCAAATTTATCTATTTTTATGTTTGGTAATAACGAATTGCAAATTTTTGATTTTATTACACACACCTCTTATATTCACATTAATTACAATTAGATGTTAAATTTGACCGCTGAGATCAACAACACCCATAAATTTAGCTACCCATACCGTTAGCTAGGTGTTGTGTCAAATCTCTAACACTTTGCAAATTTATCTATTTTTATGTTTGGTAGTACCGAATTAATTCTTTAGATTTGGAATTGAAAAAAAATTACTTCCTAATTGAACAAATCCCTAATTCAATGCGTCAATTTGATGCCATAACATATAGGCATTAACCACTGAATTATCGAGACATTTACAGATTACATATAGAGTATAACCTTGTAACAAATACCTCTTTGACACACGAATTTGAGCATTACTGAGCAATAATGCTATTAAACATCTCTCAATGTATAAAACATAACTACATATTTTTTCTAATTTTTGTATTAAATACTATATACATATATGATATACATATTAAATATAAATTTAATTTATAAACTTCAAATTTTCCAAAACATTCAAATTATGTATTTATTGTACACATTAAGAAATATTTATTTGAATTTAAAATATTGGCAAAAATTAAATATATAATTTATTAATTAAATTGAAAATATATTAATATATTATATATGATATTATATATTTATACAAATTATAGCCTCGGTTAATATACAATGTAAAACATTTATAATATGAAATTTAAGAATTATGAAAATATTTATGTTTCAACAATCTAAGTTCAGATGTCTCATGAGGCATTACTATCACAGGGTACAAAATATGTGTCATTTACTAATGACTAGGCATACAGAGGTTTGCCTTCTAGTCTTCTGTACCAATATTGTCACAAGGTTAGAAGAGCTTCTCATTAATATATATTCCCTCCGTCTTAAAATAGTTATTTATCTTTTCATTTTGAGATGTCTCAAAAAACATGTTCTATTTCAAAATTGAATGTATTATGTTTTATAACATTTCTAAATTATCCTTTTAACTAAACAACTGCATTAATTACAGAGCACTATTTTGTCTTTTAGTAAAGGCATATTTGAAACTTCACCCTTATCAATATAATAAAAAAACTAGTAAAACTCCACTACCATTAAAAGTTAGATCCCCCTATAGGACATGTATATTGGGATAGGGAGTATATATATATATATATATATATATATATATATATATAGAGAGAGAGAGAGAGAGAGAGAGAGAGAGAGATGGAAATTAAACAAAAATTTGGCTTGAAAGCAATCAATGGTTCAATTGTTATCTTTCATTTTATTCCATTAAAACAGTTATTTTTTATAAAATATATATATATTTTTTGACAAATTAAAAAGAAGGGGACTCCAACACGAACACGACACACCCATTTGTAAAAGTAGACACTCTATCAGTTAGGCACTCTATCAATTAGGCGACTACAATAACTGACTAGATAATGATCC